TCTCGGCAGCAGTCCCTAACATACCCCTACCGGGCATAGGCTCAGGTTTGACTCTCAAAGAAGCGACCAAGTTAGCCATGGGGCCACAAAAAGGTCGAGGATTTGTCAAAGATTTACTCAAACATGGGAAACAACAAGCCATCATGGCCGGAGTGAAGATAGGCAGGGATGTGGTGGGAAAAAGAAAAAACATCCGAAATGCTCTTTTAACCCACGGACTCAATGCGGCCAAAAATACAGGTCTATTTGCTTTCAATCGAGGAGTCTCTTTACCCTTTAGAAAGAAGAAGAAGAAAAAAGGACAAACAGGTCAAGGAAGAAGAAGAAGAAAAAGAAGAAAGCAGACAGGGAGAGGAAGAATCCTGTTAGCCCGAGGGGGTCCTAAGAGAAAAAGGAAAAAACAAGGAGGAATTCCTAAAAGAAAACGTCATTTAGATGTGTTTGACTGAGAGAGAGAGAGAGAGTATAAATAGACCAGTCCAGGGAACAGAAGGTTCATTTGTGAAAACTGAATCCTAGTAGACACATCATGTTACAGCCCGATTCCTGTGCGTGTGGGATGAACAATTTACAATTGTTTCAAGTCCCTCCGACTAATATTGCTTTAGAAGACTCGAAATGGGAAGAATATTACCCCATTTCCAGTACTTTAGATTCCGACACCGCTCCCATCGAATTTGAAATCAAAGGACAAGGAGATCACTATCTGGATTTATCTCAAACTTATGTTCAAATGGTATGTAAATTTACCAAAGACGATGGAAGTAATCTGACTGGGGCAAACAGCACTTCCAGTCCCGTGAATAATATCTTACATTCCATGTTTACGGAAATCGATGTCAGTCTGAATGGAAAAATAGTGACTCCGGGGACGGATACCTATCCTTACAAAGCTTATCTGGAGAAATTATTGTCTTACCGACCCAGAACTTTAAAGACACAGACGAGGGCCTGTAGTCTGTGGGAAAAAGATACGGCAGGACACATGGACGAAGTGGGGTTAGAGGACCTTGGTGTAGCTGCAAATAAAACCTTTAATGTAACTCCGGGTCAAGATGGTGGTGCCGACACGGTGACCATTAACCAACCCATCCTCACAGCGTTACCGGCCAATTCTAAAAACGAAGGATTCCGAAAAAGACACCAAGCTATTGCTGACAGTAAGAAAATCAGTTTGCTGGATACTTTACATTTGGATTTGTTTCAACAAGATCGATTTCTACCTAATGGAGTGGACGTCCGTTTGCGATTTAATCGAGCTAGACCCTCTTTCTACATGATGATCAAAGGAGGAAGTACAGGAAAAGTGAAAATATTGAGTATGATCTTGTGGGTGAGAAAAGTCAAACCCACAGCAGTCATGATGAATACCATTAATCAGAGTTTGAATACCCACAGAGCCAAATATCCCTTGAGAAGAGTGGAAGTGAAAACCTTTACCATTGGCTCAGGAACCCAGTCTAAGATTACGGATCATCTGTTTCAAGGCCAGATGCCTAAACGTCTCATTTTAGGCTTTGTGGAGAATGCGGCCTTTAACGGAGATAAAACTAAAAATCCCTTTCATTTCCAAAACTTTGGGATCAAGAAATTAGATGTCAGTATCAACGGAGAGACCATGAGTACTCGTTGTTTTGAACCTAATTTCAACGACGATTTATATCTGAGATCATATCTCAGTCTGTATCAAGCTCTGGGGAAATTAGGAGAAGATTGGGCTCCGGACATCACCCTAGAAGAGTATAAAAGCGGCTACACTCTATGGGGCTGGGATTTCACTAAAGATCAAGAAGCGCAATCGGATAAATTCCACATCATAGAAACAGGAAATCTGAGAGTAGAAGTGCAGTTTACCAACAATACGGCTACCACCATCAATTGTGTGGTGTATGCAGAATTCGATAACTTATTAGAAATTAACAAACAGAGAGAAGTGAGCATTGATTACTAAAAAAATGGATACGGGACAATTGAGAGAAGTCTTATCCAGAGAATTCAAGAGTTCTTTTGGAGGCGTGTATCCTGTAGATTTATTACCGGATCAATTAAGACCTGGAGAAAAAGCTGTCGTGGTCAATACGGATCCTCAAGATCGACCTGGAGAACATTGGGTGTGTCTATATGTGAGCAATCCCGTGGTGGAATATTTCGATTCTTATGGATTTCCTCCCTTACAAAAAGAAATTCAAGATTTTATCCAGCGTCATGCTCAACAATGGATTTATAATCCGTATCGCTATCAAGACTGGAATACCGATGTGTGTGGACAATATTGCGTGTATTATTTACATCAAAGAGACAAGAAAAGAAAGAAAACCGACGAGTGGCTATTCCCCTTTGACCAGAGTACGGCTTTACAAAGGGACAGATACGTAGCGAATTGGTTTAAAAACACTTATCATAAATTACCTACGGGTCATGGACAAAAGTGTCAATGTTTTTATCAAAATGTATTGTAAATGAGTTGTTTGTTGTTTGTTGTTTGTTGTTACAAAATAAAGAATGAAAAAAAAATCAAAATCTGTGTTCTTTGTTTTGTGTTAGTGTTTTCAGAAAAAAATCCAGTTTGAACTGGTTAGGCTAGACTGAGCTTTTGACTGTGAAGCGTGACGTCATAATCTTGAATCGGTGCCAAGTATTTACCTATGTAGTCAGCATAAAAAAAAACGTAGGTAAAACGCATGTTTTGCACACGGCCCTTATCTTTCAAGGTGAGGGGGTATAAAAACAAGGTGTTAAAGACGATCCTCCTCAGTTGGGGGCATGTGGTTGAGTAAACGACAGTTTGGCAAGCGAATTCCTAGAATATTAGAAGACATGGAGATGGATAAAGATAAATTTGCCTTATTAGAAAAGAGAATGACGGAACCTATGGAGGGGGATCACGAAGCTCCTCAAACAAAAAGAAGAATAGAGTTGAAAACCCTGGATCCGGAACCTAAGAATGAATATATACCCCTGCATGAGCCTATCAATGATCCTAAATGTCCAGACAGATTTTACAGGACAGCCATTAATTGGACTTTCACCATTAAAGAGCCTAAAGAAGAAGAAGATATAGACATGTTTCTGAGCAACCAAGATGATTTCTTCTTCGGTTTCCAGTATTTGATTATACAAAAGGAAAGACATCCCTGGACAGGAGAACTGCATCAAATCAGGGGATTCATTCAAATGAAGGAACCAGAAGGAGGACTGACTATGTGCAGACTTCATATCGCTGCCAGATTTGCTATGTCTCACAGTACCCCAGAATTGGAAAGTATGTTTTACAAGCAAGGAGGTGACTATGAAGAATATGGTGTTCTGAAACCGGAGGAGAGAAATAAAGAATTGGAGCCCAGAGATTGGATAGAATGGGAAATAGGAGCTTGGAAGAAACCTGAAGCTATTGCAGCCAGAGAAGCTAGGAAGAAACAGTTCTTAAAGAATGTGAGCTGGTCAAGATGTGAATAAAAAAAAAAAAAGATTGAACTGTTATTTATTGTTAGATCTCAATAAAAAAAGAAAAGAAAAAAAAAATTGTGGGTTTTTTGTCATTTTTAAAAAAAAAAAAAAGGTTATCTCCCTTTAACCATAGATTTTTTTCAAAACACCAAAACAAAAAAAAAGTGTTGAGGGTTTTTTAAAGATTGATAAAAATAAATACAATTTTAAAAAAAAAGTATAAATAGTAAACATGGTACAAAACACACCTCAGTTGTGGACTGGTTTCATTATGGGTAACACCTCCAGTAAAGAAATGAGTCAGAACACTAGATTAAAGGAAACTGAATGGTTACTTATACAGGAGGGAGGAAAAGATATCATACCACCTCCCTTGATGGTAGAACATCCTGCAGTATTTATACCACCTCCCTTGATGGAAGAACATCCTGTAGAATATAAACCTCAGGAGGAGGAGGAAAAAGAAAACATAAGACCAAACAACAAACTCTTGGAGGATATTAAGGCTCATTATCAAAACAAACAGAAAGAAAATACAGGCAATGGATATATTGCTTACTTAAAACAAGACAGAGGTAGAATAGCCAATAATTGGATATTTAATTTAACTGGGTGCCGACAGGAAGATGTAGATCAAATCATTGGAAGTGATTATCAATACTTGATCTTACAAAAAGAAAGGCATCCAGAAACTGGAAAACTTCATCATGTGAGAGGATTCATTCAAATGAAAAACAGGGTTCAAGGGAGATACATGTACAGAAAGATTCATAAATTAACCTGTTTTGAGATGTCTTACAGCACCCCAGAATTGGAAAGAACTTTTTATAGACAAGGTGACTATGAAGAATATGGAGTTCTAAAACCTGATGTGAGAAACAAAGAATTAGTTCCAAGAGATTGTAGATTTACCTGAATAATAAAAAAAAATCTTGTTTTATTGTGTTGTTGTTGTTGTTCTATAAAAACAAGGGTGTTTTAAAAAATAGATTCATTTTACATCATGAGTCTCCAGGAGATACAAGGTGATTTACTCAACTGTGAGGTAGAAGCTATTGTTCATCAATGTAATTGTTTAACTGTAAAAGCTCATGGATTGAGTCAAAGTCTGGCAGAGAAATTCCCACAAGCTAATCTCTATGCCACTCGCAGACCTCTAGGGACTAGAAATTTAGCCGTAGAAGAAGATAGAGGAATTCCAGGCACTATTAAGGTGTTTACCTCACAAACCCCTGTGGTCATTTGTTTACTAGCTCAATGGGATTATGGAAAAGCAAGTCACCGACCTAAAAGAATTTCCACTTATCAGGATACCCCACAAAACAGAGAGCAATGGTTTCAAGCCTGTTTACAAGAAATGGGGGAAAGTTTACCTTACCAGACTTATGCTTTTCCTTACAAGATTGGGTGTGGACTAGCCCAAGGAAATTGGATTCATTATAGACATTATATTGAACAATTTGTACACACTTATGAAAAACATGTGTACATTCTTCATCATTAATTGTGTGTTTTTCATGTGATGTAAAAAATAAAGAAGAAAAAAAAAGTACCTTTTTATCTGTCATACTCTAATGTCTGTTTTAAACCGGAGATGAAGGTCCACCGCAATCCCCATGCACTCATAAGCAGATCTCTGGAGGGGGTCAGTAGAAACACTCAAGTAGTTTTTTTTCTTTTCCCCTGTGATATAATGTCAAATATTTTAATGGAAAATTCAGAAATTTATTAGCACTTAAAGATAAAAAAACTTGCTATCTTTATGGTATTGATTTCCATTATCAGATTTTATATATTTTTTTTTTATCCATTTTAAAAATATAAACATTTAAAATAATTATCTTAATAATAATAATTAAATAAATTAAAATGATATTGAAACTTTTTTTAGATTCAAGTTTTTGTTTTTATGTTAGTTATTTCACTGTGTATTTCCCCAAAGGAAGACCAACAGCCAGGCTTCACTTCACTTAGAGAATGGATTGGTTAGGAACAAAACATATCTTCCAGGTTTGAGGACTGTATAGAAAAATAAAACCCATTTTTGTTATTATGATTTAAATTACATGAGACAATGCCTCTTATAAATGTAATGCAAAAATAATATCTCTTATATATATATGGATTCCTATACTCTAATCATATTAAATGTCATTTGTAAAATGTATTTTTTAAAGACAGATTTTATTTAGGATTGACTTTTTAAATGATGACATGAATAGCAGGCCATACTTTAAGCACATGACAAAAACATTATCTCAAATTACACAGAAATGGGTTATTTAGCATAGCTGACATTAAACATATAGGTGAGGGATAACATAATCACAATTATAAACAATGTGAAACAACTTTAAACGACCTACAAGGTAGATTACAAGCCTTTTTCACGGGGGTAAAATCTTGCGGAGATTCAACAACATGAATAGCAGGCCATACTTTAAGCACATGACAAAAACATTTTCTCAAATTACACAGAAATGGGCTATTTAGCATAGCTGACATTAAACATATAGGTGAGGGATAACATAATCACAATTATAAACAATGTGAAACAACTTTAAAAGACTCACAAGGTAGATTACAAGCCTTTTTCACTGGGGTAAAATCTTTGCCGAGATTCGACAATGGCGGCCTAATTTACATAAAAAATTACGGCGTACTTGGAGACATAAATTTTTTTTAAAAAGTGATTTTTTTTTTTGACTGTTTAAGTAATCTTTTTGAACACACAGAACGTGTTTTAACTTTGAGAGATTTTTAAAAAGATCCTCTTTTTTCTAAGATACAATCGTTTCTTTGACTGTATTTTAGAAAAAAAAGAAAATCTTTTTTTTTCTAAGAGACACACACATACGTTTCGTTTTTGACTGTTTAAGTAGGCATCTTTTCGAAACAATTGGGTGGCCGTGAAAACGGCCGTTTGTTATAAAACACTTTTTGGGTTTTTTTTTATTTTGTAAATTTTTTTTTGTTGTTTTTTTTTTCTGACAACTGTTTTCAGGTGAGGGTGGGTCCTCTAGCTCTCCAAAATTTCCTGCACAAGGCGGCCGACGTCGACGTCTTCATCGGAATCGGATTCATCCAACCCCCCTCCAAACTCCGATCTCCGGGTCAAGGGTATTCTCACCCGCCGGGCGTTCCTGCATAAAGGGCAGGGTTGACTCCTTTCTATCAGGCGCGCCGCACATAATACGCAAGCTGGCCGCTGCAAACATCTGGAACAGATGAAATTGTTTTCTTCATTATCAGTGAGACAGAGTGTACATAAGATCCTGTCGACGGGAACTCCAATCCCCCAGGGCGGGATCCTTCCTTGATTCCGTGCCTGGGACTGTGGGTTGGGTGCAGCAGGTCTTGGTGGTGACGGGGGTGACGAACGGGGTGCTGGTGGTGGTGATCTCTGGTACGGGTGCGCCCTTCGATGGCGATCATTCACCTGGATCCGGGCCATGTTCATTCGACAGATTTCCCTTCCGTTATCGATTCTTCTTACTGTCAAGTGAGACTCTACGATGATCCCCGGAATGAGGAAAAGATCTTCGTGAAACAGTCGCTGAGACATCTTTTGTCTTCTATATCTGCAATCAGTTACGATCAGTCTTCTATCTGCAAACAGCTAGGATCAGAATGACACCGAGAGCTCGGAGGGTCTGTATTTATACACAATAGCAGACGATTGTGCAATCGCGGCAAAACATCAACAATCCAATCATGTGATCAAATGTGATTGGCTAAAACAAAAAAATCGCTTTTGATCATGTGATCAAAAAAAGCCCCATCACAGTGACAAAGCAAAATTGAAGGGGGAAAAGGCCGAACCCGAGTGCATATATGACGTCATACAATAACATAACACTGATGTAGTATTACATGATTTTTATTTTATTTCTTAAAAACTAACAAAGCTTCTAACTGTCGAATTCTCCTCCGAAATCGTATTCGATCCGCTACTAATTGCATCCAGGGACTTCTCCGGTCTTCGGGGGGTAATTCGTAGATTTGATTGAGGCTGGTATTAAAAGTCACGGATTTCCTAGCCTGTGTGAAATTTCCAGGTATTTCATTCCGTATTGAATACATTTTTTTTTTTCTTTCATCGCATCTATGTCCTGCCACAATAAAATCACTTTGCCCGCTTGGGGATGGGTCAGGAAACTGTAAGGCTTTCCGAAATAACGGGTCAGGTTCAGTCCGTACCATTTCTGGGGCAGAATTGTTTTCATATGTCGACATAGAAAATGTATGGTAGCTAGTCTCCCCATGGTCGTCGCATGATGTGATAAGGTTAGGCATAGTAACCATAAATCCTGAAGGGTTTCCATGATAGTGCTGGCTTCCTGAAATACTTGTTCTGCCTCCGGGGGTAGAGATTCTTGGTGATTTTGTGCCCATCGTACTAAACAATCATACCCATTTAAAATCAGAGAGTGAGTGTGTATCAGGGTTGACATGATAGTCGATTGTGAAGAAAGGACCAGATTTTTCTTCTCATTTATACCCCCCGTATAAAACGTAGGTCTATCGTATTTTTTGCACACGGCCCCCCTCACAGGTGATGCAACAGGTATAAAAAGGTAGCATAAAAAACGTACTTGAATCGCTGCCAAGTATTTACCTGTGTATCAGCATTTTTTTTGCACACGGGCCCTAAACAAACTTGACTCGCTGCCAAGTATTACCTGTGTAGTCAGCATAAAAACGTAGGTAAAACGTATTGATGCACACGCCCCACAGCAGGTATATAAAGCGGAGCTGGGATTTGACGATCAGTCTTGCTTGACATTTCGAACTTGACAGACGTGAAAATAGTATGGCAGAAGCAATGATGAATACTCCAGACAACCCCAACTATGTGACACCTGAAGGTTATGTAGGAGCCCCCATGCCAGAGTCACAGGATGCAGTGGGATTAGATTTGGGCATGTATAATCTTCCAGAATATGCGAATAAAGAAGATATGGGCCTATTAAATACAACTCTGGATGGGATTGTTAACATGCTGTCCGCTCTTGACAACAAGATGAATGATATGAACAACAAGGTGAGTGATCTTAACAACAAGCTGAATTATATTGGTGAGAAAGTGCGACATCATGACAACACGCTGAAATATATTGCTGAGAAGGTGGGTGATCATGAAAACAAGCTGACTGATCTGAAAACTTACAACGCCAGTGAATTTTGTTTGATTCGTGCCAAATTATCCAAATTAGAAGTGAAAGTTACTAACATGCAAGACAAAATGAGAGGAGCAAGCACTTACCAGAAAAAAGAAGGACAAGGGGAATCGGGAGAAAAAAAGAAAACTAGACAGACGGATCCATGCTACATCTGCAAAGAGTTAGGGCATTGGGCCCCAGATTGCCCCAAGAAAGATTTGTGCTACAAGTGCGGGAAATTTGGCCATTGGGCTAATAAGTGTACAGAGGATGAGGAGGATCAACAATTCGTCAAAGAAGTACAAAAACTGGAGAAAAAGCCTCAGGAACCCAAGATCTCAGGGACCCACCAGACCAAACCTCTAGTGAAAGAAGGAGACAAAAAAGAGAAAAAAAAGGAAGAAAACAGAGAGAATCCAGGACCCAGCACTACTCACAAGAGGAAACTATCCCTGATGACCGATAAGGCCCAGAAGAAGAAAAAGTAAATTGTTGTATTTTTTTACTTGAATAAAATCTGTGTTCTTGTTTCTATTGTGTGTTATTGTTTTTTTTCAGTTTTCGGAAAATCACTGTGAATGAGTGACGTCATAATCAAATTCTTGAGTATTTGCCAAAATCGTAGTAGCAGCGTTATGAATGGTAGTAGCAGCAGCGTATATAGTATAATGTAAACACAGTGTAAACACACCCCCGTATTTAGGGGGATTATATGTACTGAATTGACCCACCTATCCCCCCAGGGGCTGCACTCAGTTGAACCCCCTATCCCCCACAGGGGCTGCACTCTGTTGAACCCCCTATCCCCCCAGCCCCAAAAGTGCACTCAGTTGAACCCCCCATCTAGGCTGCTTATACTACTTTTATCTCACATTTAATAATTGTTTCTAAAACTCACTCATTCAAATATAGTTTAGGGGGTATATTGGAATCACCATGTCCGTCTGTCTGTAGACAAGATTTTGTCCGGACCGTTTCTCAGAAATGTTGGATGGATTTGTCAAACAATATTTGATGGTCGTATCTTGCTGTGGCAAGGCTCTTTATTAGACAATAGTGAATACCTCTTACTAGATCCATAAAATATTTCTGAATTGGCACCTACTCTGAAAAACCAGCGGGGGTATTTGTCCCTATTGGACAGTTCTAATTGTTCCAAATGCACGCATGTCCATGATGACCATACCTTTTTGTAGAAGTCTCTAACATCTATCTACGTCGTAAAACCAAAACAAGGGAGTTATAGCCATTTGAAGTTTCAGCCAATCAGATTGCTGTGCATGTGCGTGATTTCATGAATTTTGTCTACATCATATTGTAGGATATCCTAATTCGTGACTATATTTTAAGTTTCAAAGAATATCGTCAAAAAACAAAGGAGATATTCCCTCAGTAAGGGAAAACCGCAAGTAAGATAAGACAAGAGGCCCATGGGCCTTATAGGTCACCTGAGCATTATGCAACAACTTTCCAGTGATTGAATTTGATTCATGTTTTAAGCCAGATGCTATGGCATTCACAATTTTGAAAGAGGCACCATTGATCATCATAACAATACACTTAGCAGTTGCTTAGTTTGTTTACTTAATACCCATACGCAGGGTAAGGGAACACAAAATGCATTTCAACTAATCAGTAATATTCAGCAATAATCAGTAGTGCCCCTACCATACATGAACCCCTGACCCTTAGGCCTTAATATTTGATCAATACCAAGGAGCAGATTTCAAACCATTTATTCATTTTCAGTATATATAAGTAAGACCCCCCCCCCTTTATGGTAGCCCTGACCCTGGGGCCTTGAAATTCACAATTGTGCACGATATGGGCCCTTGTCCATCATAAATATATTGGTAGTTCATCTGCTTTAATACCCTGAAGCAGAGAAGAAAATTTTCAAAGATTTAATGTATTTTCACTATATAATCAATAGAGCCCTTCCCTAACACCAGAACACCAAATCCTGGGGCTATAAAATTCACAATTATGGAAGAGGCATTCTTGCTCATCATAACTATATACTTAGTTAGTTTATTTATTTCCTAGGAACAGAGGAGAAGATTTTCAAAGAATTCATGTATTTTCACTATATAATCAATAGAGCCCCGCCCTTACACCAGAACCCCTAACCCTGGGGCCATAAAATTCACAATTTTGGTAGAGGCACTCTTGCTCATCATAACTATGTACTTAGTTAGT